GCGAATCCATCGATCCAACTGGGGATCGAACCAGGGACCTCATGGGCAGAACGCAAACATGCTACCCACCCGACCACCGGGCACCTGATCAGACGGTTTTTTCATTTTCCATTTACACCATATAGCACAACCCATTTTTGCGAGCTTGTTGTGGGCCTCAGGCCCTGCTCATTTCAGCACTAGCCTCCGAGTTATGACTCGGTTGGAAACATTCAAAACCTGACTACTTATTTCAAGTGAATAATGAAGAATTTGATTCAATCTGCAATGTTCATGCACGTGTTTACGAGCATCATTTGCTAATTAATTACTTAACTTCGATCCCGGAGCTGTGAAACACTCTAACCCAACCATTATATATATGTATTCACCCTCAACAACAGAACTCTCCCAGCTAGCGTGACAAGACAGAGTTTGAAATGGGAGGGAATTGAAATCATGTATCTTTTTTTCAGGAGCCTCATCAAAGCTCAACTTGATCAATACATGTCATCCAATGTGATTGCGGTTTACGGGAGTCCATCAAGTTCAGCTTCCTCGGACTGGGTTTATATTCAACGGTGAGTTACATTCAGCACGTCGTGGTTCTGGGTTCAAATGAGACCCATTTGAGAACAATTCTGCAGGGCTATCAGAACATTGTAAATATATGTATATATGTACGCGTGCATGCCAGTACATATATGAGACAAACGATTCGGAAGACAATCTATGAAGATGTCAGGTTGAACATGGAAAAGGGTATAATCCAGTTATTGAAGGCGCAATGTGGTGCGCTGTGTGCAGTTCGCAGAATTTATCAATAAAAAATTGATTGATTGAGTTCAGTTGAAAATAGTGAAACCTTATCATTCATAACATCCGTGTGGTATCGAATTCTCTGTCAAAAAAAGAACTCATGCCTCAGTAATTTGGTCCTTCCAACTGAGTGCTTCAGATATTACATAGTTGGAGATGGAGACTCCGCGGAGCCAAGTGAGCTTTTGCTTTGCATAATTTCCAGTATCTGGTGAACTTTTCAAGTCAAGTCAGCTTTCGGAATCGACGGAAGTAACTGGATATATCTCTCGGAATTCACTACCTGTTAGTCAATGTGTAAACTACAATGCATTCTGTTGGATGGTCATTCGACACACCCCTGATAGATAATTCAGATATTTGGAGAAAATATTTCAGTAAAGACTTTGAGAGTACTGCGGAAATATAAACAATAGAGAATAATGAATGCTTTATCTGTTCTCGCCCTTACTTTCTGTGTCAGATGACTACGGTGTGTGCTTATATTCCTTTTAGTGAGCAAATCAGCTTATCTCTCGCTGCTACCGGTCGCTCAAGTTCAATGAGCATTCTCAACCGTACTGATGAAGTGTTGATTCAAGGATTGTGCGAACAGATTCCGTATGCAGCACGATTAGATGTTTTTTATGCCGAACAAGGTAAAGCGGCTGGGCAACCGATTCTCCAAATTATCGGCGCACAAATCAGGTGAGCTACTGAACTTCCTCTCCCCATATTATAATTGTTCAGTTGAATAAATTTACGAAAATTTCAGTTTAATGCTGCAAAATCGAAATCCATCGTTTCTTCGCATTCTGATCGTTGATACATCCTTTCCTCACATAATTCTGTCCAAAAAATCACTCATCTGCTTTTCCGCACTTTCGCCACTGAAAACATGTTTCATATTCGAAGCAGGTGTCTAATACTGTGTTCTTGTGCTCTTTTTCTAATCAAAGCAAACGAATAGGCATTTTTGGAACACAGAAAGCACATGATGGTGTAATAGTAAGCATACAAATGTTGCATTCTCACTCAATCCGTATTTGAAAAATGGTACCGAGGAACCGTCCGTATCACGCCCGATCTATCCAACAGCAGGTTCAAACAGCTTGTATTTGCATGGACTGAGCAGGTTTGGATCACCAATCAAGCGATCACTGTGGATGTCTCGTGTCTGCTCCGGCTCGCACGTTTATAGTGGAATAGTCGGACGGACAAAGCCGAGGTGAAACGTAAAGTATGAAGTAATTGAAGTCATGACCTCCGTAAATCACGGTGGGTGAGGCATATCATCACTGACGACGATGATGATGTGCCATTTTTTGCCGAAGTAACTGATCAACGGAATAGGGGCAATTGTGGTCAAATCATGACCGAGGATAAAGGTATGAGAGATTTGAGCACAGAACTTCGTCAACTATAGATCGCGTTAGGGATCACGTGATCAACTCATTCACTGATGTGTCTAAATATTATAAACACTCGTGCATCTGCTCATGTTCCACACGGATCAATAATTTACTTTCCTCATTTGTCTTTAGTTCGACCATTTTATCGGCGCTTTATTTCTTCCTTTTACCCCATTATCACTCCTCGATCAAAGTGGGTAGCCGAAAAACAGCAACCAAAACAGATGCAAGACAGTACACTGAAAATGAAATGTCTCGTACTATCACCCCGATTTAGTATTCATTAATTGTGTTCAATCATGCTTGTGATACTTTTACCAGTCACTCGAAATCAAACTGGTCATCTCGGCTTTACCAGTTACAAAATGACAAAATCACCTGATTTTCTACCCTAACCTCTTCTTTATTCCAACTGCCAGGTATGAGTATGAGGACTGGCAGTTATCGTGCGGTTCCAGTGATCATGCCTCCGTTTGTCGTCCATCACTATCATCCTCGTCACTTGATGCTGCTATTCTGGCTTCACAAGCGTTCTATATTCAAACCAAAGTGACTTTTACTCAAGTCCCTTCCGACTGGACAAGCCAAATTGTCAATGCAGCAAACTTTTCTCGTAGACATGCAGAACGTGTTGCAAGCACTCGAGCTTGCCCATACGATGCATGTTGGCGTGAGGCATTTTACGCGTGGACCACATTCCCACAACTGTTCGGTTCGGACTTCCGAGTANCATATCAAGTCGCGATAAGTTTGGGACTAGGTGGTCTGGCATTCTGCATGCTCGTGTTCACCAGGCCGTTCTTTTAGGTGTTTTTTTCACATACACACGCGCGCGCACACACACACACACATACATACATACATCCTGTCTCGCAGTTTGTGATCCGACCACGGTCAATATGGTCTTCCCAGATTGCGTTTATTCGCGTGAACCGCATTGTACGTTGTCCTCTTTATATCAATAAAAGGTGTACTTTTTAATATGATGATCACCGGTGATTTTTCGTTCTCGACCAAAACGGGCTTTAGAAATGGGGGCGGCAAATACCACGTGCCGTAAAAGTAGTTCACATGAGAGTGCCGCCTATAAACCAGGG